CGAGCGGCCGTACCTGTGCGAGTGCCGGGCAGGCGGCTGCGCCCGCAGCTTGGAATTCTCTCCTTCTTTGCTCGAGCCAGGCAATCATGAGTGATCGAAAGGCAGTGATCAAGAATGCGGACATGTCAGAAGAGATGCAGCAGGATGCTGTGGAGTGCGCTACTCAGGCCTTGGAGAAGTACAACATCGAGAAGGACATTGCCGCTCACATAAAGAAGGTAAGTGTTTTCTCGTGCTGTCCTGGTGAAATCTCTATGTGCATGAAAAATCAAACAGGAAGAATGCTGCTGGGCAAGTAGCTCTAGCGAAACAAGTTCGAGATACTAGATAATCAAGTTGGACTTTTTCTGTAGGCTGGTGTTCTTATGTTCCTTTCCCCACCCTTTCTGTGGAGTCTTCCAGGTTCTTTTCTCTTGCAGTACCTTCTGCTTAAGCCTTTTCTGCCACTGTCCCATTGTCCAGGTGAACAGGGCTGACTGTCCCTGGGACTGATTAGCTGGTACAAAACACAGGGGCTCTATTGAGCTCTCCTGTGGTTTTCCTCTGGGAGAAAACCTGTTTTACGTAGTCCTTAGTTTCAGTTTTATTGAACTTAATCTTAAGGATCTGTTCACAGTTCTGCCCAGCTGGGTCAAAAAGTGCAGGGAAAAATAGCTTTCTGCAAGTCTACTATAAACGCACCTCTCCTTATGTAGTGACCTAAGCCAAAAAAACCCCAACCAATCCAAACCACAAAAAGTCCTGGTGGCACTGATTATGTGTTGTTTGCAAAGTCTGTGTCATTCTTTATGTAGGATTAACAATGCTGAACATGGGAAAGATCTAGTTCTGATTATATTTCCTGCTTCGTCAACTCAGGAGAATGGAGAAATCAAAGAGCATCAATGGAAGTTAAACTGATCTGAGTGGAAGAGCTGTTTAAAAAGTAATTCAACTAAGCAGAATGATTACTTCCACTAGAGAAATACTGGTTTGCTATGCCCATGATACAGAAAGGCATTTTTTTTCCTAGATGCAGGAAGTATCTATGACATTGGAAAAGAGACTTAGTATTTTTCAGGTACTCTTTGTAGCACGTACTGGGAAATTTGTAGAGGATTGTTTGAAACATGTAGAACGCAAATTCTTAGGTTTGTTGATAGTGCTGGTGTTACAGAGCATGTGGCAGAGAATTTTCCACCGAGTCCCTTTAGCACCCATGTTGCAGATGAACAATGAAGCCTAAATTATATTTTAATAATCTCTGCAGGTATAAAACTAGTGGTGAAGCTTTTACTCGAGGGCTATAGTTTAAGATCATGGTATGAACTGGGAGGGGGGAGGGCAATTTTCCCTGAACAAAGGTAATGTTTTAAACTTACTACTACTCAGATGGGAAGCACTGTGTCTTTTTTGGTGGATTTTTTTCCTTTTGTCTAAGCAGCAGGTGAATAATAAGATGTAAATAAGATCATCCTAGTACTTAAGAGCATCTGCTCTTCCTCTAATTGCCTTGCTCAGAAAGTGAATACCCATTTAGAAGAGTTCTTAATTTCTAGTGATCTGTTTTGCAGGAGTTTGACAAGAAATACAATCCCACTTGGCACTGCATTGTGGGAAGGAACTTTGGCAGCTACGTGACTCATGAGACCAAGCACTTCATCTACTTCTACCTCGGCCAAGTCGCTATTCTCCTTTTCAAGTCTGGTTAGAACCACGGACTGTTACTGAAACTTGCACCCGGTTACAGGACTGTGTGCTGACTCCTCTGACTAGTTACTGCAGCCTTCCTGAGGACGCAGACCTTGATCTTCAAGGGCAATGGCAGGGATTATGCTGTAGCAGATGATGTTACATTGTGGATATAAAGAGGAAAAATACCAAAAAAGTCTTCCTTGTATTTATTTTTTTTTCAGAAGGCTGCTTCTTTGCTAGTAGAGCTGTTGGAGCAGTTTTGCCTTTGAGAGTTTTATAGCCATCTACAGTATTGCCCAGTTACTACTTGTGCTATGTAAGTACTGACAGTGTTTAGTTCTTTCTGTTCCAATCTTCTCGTATTCTGATTTGTGGGGTTTTTTTGATCATTTTCCCCTCTTGTGTTGCTGGGTGTACTGTCCCAATCCTGAACTGTTTCTCTGCTGATTCCTCTTGGAGAGCTGCTCTGGAAAATAAAGGCCACAATCTGCCCCCACCGCCAGGTTGTTATTTCTGGCTGCTTTGTGCTGCCTGGGTGGGGTGGGGGGGCTCCCCCTGGGCCACTCCTGCAGGCTGGTGTGGCGTTGGCCCAAGCCCTTGCTGCCATCCAGTTGGGGCTCGGTGCCGGCTCGGGGGCTCGGTGGGGGCTGTGGGAGTGCCTGGGGCCGGTTGGAGACTACAGCTCCCGGTGCGCTGCACGGCAGGCGGAGACTACAAGTCCAGTCATGCAGTGGGCCCACCTGGGAACGGCTCCATCCGGGGGGGACACTGTGGGTGCTGGAGCACTTGGGCTGTGTGACCTCTACCACCCCTGTGGCTCCAGTGTCCCTGGCAGTGAAGGGCAGCAGCCTCAGCCAGGCCTGCAGTGGGGGGATCAAGAGCCCGAGAGTGGTAAGAGTGGGCAGTGGGAGGGGTGGGCAGCAGGCGCAGAGCGCCTGTACCCATGCGAGGGCCAGGCAGGTGATCTGGGCAGGGAGCTGCTCCCGCAACTCTGAATGCTTCTCATTGCTTGATACAGACATCCACCGCTGACCAGTCAGCCCTGATAAAGGACACGGATGTGTCCAAAGAGATTCAGCACTGTGCTCTGGAGTGTGCTATTTGGGCCATAGAGAAATACAGTGTTGAAAGAGAAATTGCAGCTCTTGTAGACAGGGCAAATGTTTGATTGTAACATCTTTGTTGAACACTATCCACACCAGGAGCCAAGCAGGGTGGGTGTTGTGCTTTCTGGTAAAGCAAGTTCTGTGGACACAAGTTACACTGGACTTTGCCTGTGGGCTGGTGTCCCTGTGTTCCTTTTCCCATGCCTTACAGGTACCTTTCCTAGTTTTTGTTTTGCGATACCACCTATTTTAATTGTTTTTTTTCACTATCTTATTGTCTAGCAGAATAGGAGAGCATCTTCTAGCTTTTCACAGTGTGGCTGATTAGCTGGTAGAAAATACAGCCCTTTGAAGTTTGCTGTAACTTTCCTCTGAGGAAATGCCTTTTTTTTTTACCTAGTGTTTGACTTAAACTGTGTTCAAATTAGTCTTAAGCTTCTGTTCATAGTTGTGCGAGATTGGCTAGCTGGTTCAAAATTTGCAGGCAAAAGTAACTTTCTGTACATCCATATTCACATCCTCCTTTTATGTGCTGAACCATGCTAAAATTCCAAGTCTTGGAGCACTGTTTATCTGGTGTCTACAGAATACCTGATTCTATGTATGCATGGAGAAGAATAATGGATTTGCGAAAGATCTAGTTCTGATACACCTTCTACTTTGCCATCTCATGAGAATAAAGGAATCAAAGGGTGCCAGTCAAAGTTGAGTATTACATGAATCCAAGTCGAAGACCTGTTTGAAAAGTAATTCAACTAAATGGTACAATTGCTTCTGTTGGGGCGGTCTTCCTTTTCGGTCATGTTAACAGAGATATAAGCAGGTTTATTTTTTCCACTTGTAAGAATGGCATTCTATGGTAGTGGAGAGCAGAGGGTTTGAGCTTGTCAGATTTTTTTTCCTGAGGCTCCTAATTAAGAATCTGAGAAATTGCGGTGAGGAGATCACTTATCCAGGGTTTGTAATAACTGATCAGAAATTCTTGCATGCTCTCATGCAAAGTTTCCTCATTCGAGAGCTATTGGATATGGCAGTATATAATCACCAACTCAAATGTTCTGCCTGTAGTAAAGTTGTATATCTTGGTTTTTGAAATGTGTGGTCAGCTTCTGAGTACTATGGGAGAACATAATTGCATGACCTGATACTTCAGTGATATAGTTTGAGAACATGGTATGATTTTTTTTTTTTTCTGGGGGGAGAAATTGCTGTCCCTGCACTGCAGCAGGTGAGGTATAAGAGGTAAGTAACACAATCCTTATACTTAAAAGCATATGCTGCTTCTTAATTGCCTTTTCAAAAAGTGATACTTATTAAGAAGAGAAACATTAATGATAGAAAATCTGTAGTCAACTCTTGGGTGAAAACTGTGCTGAGTTCGTAGCAATCTCTGCTGCAGGAGTTTGAGAAGATATAAGTCTCACTTGGCATGGCATTGCATTGCAGGAAGGAAATTTGGCAGCTCTGTATCTCGCAAGACCAAGCACTTATTCTTCCTCATGCCTGGAGTAAAAATTCTTCTGTTTAAAGCTGGTTAGAGCTATAGGTGGTTGTTCAGAGTTGCCTTGTGCTTGCAGGACTGCACTGTAATGGTGGCAGCTTAGTGCCTTCAGCTGTCCTGAGGAAGCAAACACTGGTCTTCTGGGGCAAGGTCAGGGATTTCTCTGGAGTGGTTGGTGGTTTTGTTGTGTTTAAGGGGGGAAAGAAGGTGTGTGTGGGGGGGACGGGACAGGACCAAACCGAAACAGAATAGCCTTGTATTTATTTTCTTTCTAAAGTTGGCTTCTTTGCTAATAAAAGTTATGTGTATTCTATCCATTGGTTGTGTTCCTCCTCACTCCCCTGTGAACAACCACCTTTCAAAGAAATCTCAAATCCAGGATGTCTGAATGCTGAGCTGCACAGAGGAGCCCTGCGGTTAGATGGGACTGCTCTCAGGGATGCGCAGGAGTCACAGCAAGCCCTTGGCCTAGGTGGGAGCCAGCCTGCTTGCCTGGTGGCCTGATGCTGGTGAGGCCTGTGCCGGTAGAGGTGTGGAGCCTCGGAGATAAGCTCCATGTCCCGTGGGTGTGTTCAGCGACCGCAGTCTCTGCTGGTAGCAGCTTCCTTAGCTGCCCTCGGAGCTCTCTGTCCATTGGCGGTAACAGACAGTGCTCAGCCAGTTTACTGCAAATCTGCGTTTACCGTAAATCCATCTGCCGGAGAGCACCGGAGCGCCGTTTAGCCCAGTCTCCGTCCTGTCCGCTTGCGGTGCCCTCGGTATCGCCGCAGTTCCAGGCAGCGCTCAGGCCGGGTGTCCGCCGTGTCCCCGCCAGTCGTGGGCAGCCGCTTCGGCGGAAGAGGGCGGTGCGCGCGGTCCTGTCGCTATGGGGACGGGGGGAGG